TATGGTAATGATACTTACGATATATAATTTATTTTTATGAAAATAAAAATTTAAAAATAATTATAAGTACTAATAGAGCGGAACCGGTAGTTCACAATTATCTTGGTTCCTGTTTATTTTTCTGTACTATCCTACTTGCTTGATTTTTGTATAGTACGTATTTTTAATTTATAGTTCAATAGTCTTATCAACTTATCTGGTTATTTTATTTATATACCGTCAGTATAAATGTAATTTAATTGATTTGTGAATGTGATATGAGATATTGACATGAGTTTGTTAGTTGTTTGCTATGAGAATTTTTATGTGAAAGACTTACTGGGTACTTAAGGAAAGGGCGAACGAGCCTGGTACATAAGAAATCCTACCGTGAATGTTATTTCAGTCGGATGGGGTTGGAAAGTCCCTTATCGGGAGATTAGAAGATATAGTTCATGCTCATACCGGATGAGATATCGAGGCGATGGAATGTTTGGTGCCCATTTCCGAACAAGGTATAGGGACGGTCGGTTAATTATTAAAATTGGATATTGGGTTCACGAGCAGAGCGGACACCTTTATGGACCCCCAGGGGTACCAGTAAGTAGGTAAGAAATAAAAATTATTATTTCTCGTTCTCTTATGTGTGAAAGTGAAAAGTGATATGGATATGGATCTTCATATGTTATTTTTAGAAAACTTGTTACCGTAAGTACGAAATAAACGATATTTCTTTATATTAAATGAATTTACTTAAATTAAGTGCTCCATTAATTCTTTTATGATTTTTACCAATCTTCAGTTTTTCGTATATATTATTAGTGTGATATTCTTATTGGATTAGTGTAACTCACTATTTTATTAACTATTTCATATTAAGATTCAGATCCCGATTAATAAGAGGGTTGTGAGTAGTTCACTATCCAAACTCCATTCAAATGTTAGTGAAAGTTGTTTTAAAATATTCAGTTATTCATTTTTCATTTCATTTCTTTAATTTTTTTTTTTATCTTTTAGAATGAACATTCTTATAATTCTACTAGATATTTAAAATTATTGTATAAAAAATGTAAATTCTAATTTTATTAATCGATTCCGTATTAAATTCATAAATTTATTTCTCTTTAAATTCTGGATCTCTACATATTTTCTGAACAAGATCCACTACCACGTACCCAGAAAAGATTTGTCTTTTTAACTCTTAGCTGATTTTCAGCGCCCAGAAAAACAATCTTCATGGCTTCTTAGCCATTGAAAGGAGAAAGAAGCTTTGAAGCGAAGTAGAAGCCAAGAGGAGAAGAAAGTAGGAAAAAAAGGAGAGGAAAATTGTATGTACGTTAAAGAAAAGAGAAGAAAGAAAGATACAAAAAGATAAAGAAAGAAAAATATATATAGACACACACACACACACACATACGTATATACCTATATATATACATGTAAAGATTGGTGGCCGGCTCCTATAAAGAAAAACAAATAATCACCATTTATTTTAATATTTTCTTTTTTTAAAAGGGAAGGAATTAATTAAATTTTTCTTTTTTTAAAAAATTATTTTCGGTGAATTAACTTATAATTATTTTTAAATAGGATGAATTTGATTTGAAATTTAACTCATAATTTTTTTTATATATATTAAAGAATTTTGTTTACGATTATTTTTTATTAATTATTATTATTATTTTTCTTGATGATTAATTTAGTTCACACATTAATTATTCTTTAATGAGTATCGAACGATAATAATATGCTAGTACACTCTCTCTCTTCTCATTTCCCCAATAGTCTTATACACATATATATATATATACACACACACACACATATAAATATATATTGATGAAATGTGGATCGTAGTTTTCTAATTTCTAGTGATGGGCCAAATAGCAATGCTACGAAAGAGGTTTCCTTCAAGAGAGAATTAGTAAAGAGAAAGTTACTCGTTTTGATACTATAAATTTGAAATATATATGTACACACACACACACACACATATATATATATATATATGTAAGTTGAAATGTGTTGATCAAGATGAAGTTTTGGCACCCAAGTCAGTTTCATTCCCAATATTCGGTACATAGGAGTACATGTATATATTTAGGGTATGTTGGTGTATATATACATATATCGATTTAAAGAAATATGGAGTGATTAATTTACATAATTATAGATAAATAATTCACGTTGAGAAAGATTGAAGTTGCCTGCAATAAACATTGATTAAAGGCTAAATAGGGTTTTATATGTATATGTAAATATATTGTTGGTTGCAGCCCATGTACTGAAAGATATTGTCAGTGAACAAAAAGGGAACTCCTATCTCATATGCTGCCTCTACGACCACAATATATATATATATATATAGGCAGATATATTCATATATATACACATACATCAAATAGAAAGAGTTAATTATGTAAATTAAGAAAATAATATTTTACAATAATTTTATAAACTTAACAACAAAATTATAACTTCTGCAAATTCTTTAGCTGAGTAAACTTTACATTTATATATAATTATTTTTTCAATAATTAAGATCGTGTATTTTTATATATTTTTTAAAAAATTATAATAAGACAGTATGTATGTGTCAGTTCATGAAGTTTAGTCTTTATTACAATCTATTTCTGAACTTTTTTTGTTATAATTTAATTTATATATTACAAATATTAAATCTACTTTTATTTCTTAACATGAAAATTAGTAGAATGATTAAGACATATTTGAATATTTAAAAAAATAATTTTAATTAATTACTTAAATTAATTAATTAATTATTATTATTAAACTAATGTTACTAATGTTAGTTTTCAAAGTCTTCAAAAGTGATTCAAATACTTTTAATTTTTTTTAAAAAAAAATTAAACAGTATGAACTAATTTGATAATTTGTTCAAAATTTTAGTTCATTTATTACCCTTCTCTCTAAGGGGTAAATTAGTAAATTATCCTTTCTAAAGCATCTTACCCTAGATTCTTTTTCAAGTCTAACGGCTACTTTTTACATATCCAGTTAAAGCATGAGTAGATTTGCTCATAGTCCCTCTGCAAGATCATAATATAACGGGGGGATCAAGAAAAATATCTGTAAAACAAGCAAAAAAAAAATAAAACCCAATTCAGAGGGACTCTGTGTTATAATAATAAATGAGAAAGAAGAAAAATGGAAGAGGAGGGAAGAAGGTGCATTAATGGCGGTGACAACAGCCATTAAATATTCGGGTGAGAAGGTAATTTAATTGCTTGCGTTTTTCGCTGCAATTGTCTTCATTGCTTTCTCTCTCTTTCTTATCTCCTGCGACCCACCCTCCCAGATCCCATTTAATTCTCTCTTCTCTCTCTCTCTGCAGTAAATTTATGGCATTAATGGAGGGAAATTTATATAATTTTTTAATGGTTTTGGAATTTTAACATCTCATTTTACAAAATTCCGCCTCGGAAGCAGAGGTTTTGGTGACAACCCATGAAGCAATTAAAACTAAAATGAAGCTTGGAAATCAGATAGTAGACATGGGTTTTTGAGTTTTGATTGGAATTCTTGAATTATTTTACGAAAGTTGAAGCTTTCTGATCAATGCTGAGACACGGACTTGATCTTGATCATGATCTCCTGCTTCTGTTGAAGGAGGTGGTGGTGGGGGCGGTGGTGGAGGAACTGTTATGGTTGCTGTTGAGCTCTGCTTTAATGGCGGATTTGGTCTCGTCGATTGTGGCGGTGCTGCACAGACTGGGATTACTGATCTGATTTGAACTGCTGGAGCAATATTAATGAAACCTCCTCCTGTGTACATTTTCTTCATCTTCTCCACATGGATAGCTGAAGCTACTTTCAGGGCGGTTAACCCAGTTGGAGAATCATGATTTGCAGGCCCAAAAACTCTATTTCCAATCTGGGTTTTTCTTAACTCATTCTGGGTAGTAATCTTTTCAGACCAAGAACATGACCGGTACATAGAACTTGTTGATGATGATGATGGTGATGATAAACTGAGCCATTCTTCCTCATCTCTCTGATGCTCTTCCAGGACCGAAGCTGAATTTTCATGGAAGGTTTTCTGAACTTGTGATGATTTAACCTGAGCTTGGAGTAATGGTGCAAGCCTGTTTGCTAATGGGTAAGTAGATGAATTTGGTGGTGGGAGAATCTTGGATGTGGTGGGAGGTGGAGGTGGAGGAAGAAGAGAGACAAAACTGTGCCGTTTTTGTGTTGACAAATCAAGAGATGAGTTCATTAAAAGATCCAGTAAGCTCCTTTTCTGATATGGCAGGGGAGAAGAAGAAGAATAAGTAGAAATAGAGGAGCTGGAGGAAGAAGAAGAAGAAGTTGCAGAGCTTCTGATTAATCTTCTTTTGGCTTGAACATTATCCCTTCTTTTAACTTGTCTGCTTTCAACTTTTGGCTTAAAACTTGAAAGCACTTTTGCCACAACCGCTTGATCCTGTTCTTCAGCAACTTCTTTATTTGTTAATGAATCCAAATTTGGCACTGTGAGTTAAAACATACCCAGAAAAAACTAATCAGGAATTCATTATCCTCATTTGCAGGGATTCGAAAAGAAAAAATCTAAAAATGGGAAAGTCAGATTTTTTTTTCTTTTACAGCTTTTCAAGGATTAACACATACCAGGCTGCAAATCAAAACATACCCAGAAAAAAATTAATCATCAATTGATCATTCTGATATCCAAAGATTAAAAAATTAGGATTCAAAAATGGTAGAAGTGAGAATTTTCCTTCTTTTATATTTCAACTGCAAATTAAAACAGACCCAGAAAAAATTGATCAATTGATCATCATTCTGATTTGGAAAGATAAAAAATTTAGAATCTAAAAATGAGAAAAATGAGAATTTTATTTTCTTTTACAATTCTTCGAGAGAGACCATGCTGCAAATCAGACATACCCAAGAAAAAATTGATCATCAACTCATCATTCTGAGTTGCAAAGCCCAAAATTTCAGAATCTAAAATGGGAAAGGTGACCAAAATTTCTTTTTCTCTTTCAAAGTTTCTCAAATAAACCCATTTTTTTTATAAAAAAAAATTGATCATCAATTCATCAACCTGGTTTGGAAAAAGTTAAGAGAGAGAGAATCTAAAAATGGGAAAGGAGAAGTTTCATTTATCTTTTTACTTTTTTTCAAGGCAGACCAGGCTGCAATTGCAGCATTCTTCTCCGCTTGCTTCTTTGTCTTGGCTGATTCTCCATTGAAGCTCATACCAGCAAGCTCCACTGTACTGGTAAAAACTGGGACATGACCAGGACCTGATCTTACAGTGGTATAAACTGGAAGATCCAACCCAGCTCTATGTGCAGTTTCTTGAAGAAGGTTCTTATAGATTCCAGTCTCATCCTTCATACCCATTTTCCAAATATATGAGAAAACAACATATATATACATATATTAATCCCCAAACACATATATATATGTATATTATCAATGTGTAAATAACATACAAGAACTCTTGCAGTGAGAAACCTAGAAGGGCCTCTGGATGACAAGACATTGAGAGCAACTTCAGCAGCAGAATGCTCAGCTTGTCTCAGTGTAGTGCAATAACTTGGACTTTCGAAGATCTCGCCATTGAAATTCACAGAAGCTTTGAATCTCGGTGCATGATCAGGTCCTTCTCTTATGCAAGCATAAGAAGGGAGATTGAAACAGCTTCTCTGTGCAAGTTCCTGCAGTTGATTCTTGTACATATCTGCCATGAAACAAAGAAAAAACACCATGAAAACTTTTACACCAGATCAAATCTCCATTAACCCAGTTCAAGATTTTCGGGAAGAAGAAAAACCCATATGCTCAAAACGCAAAAAAAGAAAAGAAAAGCTTGGTGGGTGGCATGAGAAGTTAGAGATGAAGGTGGAGAAGATGAAGTTCAGTTTTGCTGAGATGTAATAGAGAGAACCAAAGAAACTCACCTACTTCTGCTGATTTCTTAGTCTTACATTGGCATGAAAAGATAAAGATTTCGTCTTTTTTTTTTTTATTTTAGGCTAAAAGCAAAAATTAAGATATGATGTATCAGAAAATTTTCTTCTCTTTGATGAGAAGAAGAGAGAAAGAAAAACGGTGACTTCAAAAATGTTAATAATGTTGATATAGTTACTTTTTTTTCCCCCTCTATCTCTATAACTTATTTTATAATTTAATAAAAATATATTTTAATTATTAAGATATAAATAAACAATAATAATTTCCCTAGAAAGCAAAGTTTCCTAGGAAAGAAGAGTAAAAACCAGTTACTAACACTGAGAACTGAGAACTGAGAACTGAGATGGGTAACTGTTAATGGGTTAGGTTATGTAATTTATTTCTTAAAAATGTTCTTCAATTTAACCCTATTTTGAGAGTTTTTTAATTTAAGATCTTTTTATTTGATTTTCTTAAACTATTTTAAAATTATAAGGCAGTAAATTTAATTAATGTTTTGAACTATAAAAAAAATTACAAAATTTTAGATTAAAACACAAAATTCAACCCACAATGCTTGAAACTGAAATTTGAAAAGTACAGAATACGTCAGTAGTAAGTAGGCTCTTAAACACAATAATATGATTTTAATTTGGAAATAAATTTATTAACAAACATTTATTTACAGCAACCACCGAATGACTTCTATTATTGAGAAGCATTTATTACAATACCAATTTTTTAAAAATTTATTTATACTGATTTTTTAAAATAAAAATTAAATTATTAATTTAATGCTTAAACTATGAGTTATATTGCAATTTAGTTCTATTTTTTTTAATTATAATGTGTTTCATAAATTTATGAAAACATAATTTTTTTAATAAATTGTTTTTACATAAGCAGCAAAATAATTTGTGTCTTATTTAGATTATATAAAAATATAATTTTTCTATTCAAAATAAATAATCAAAATAATAATTATTGCATATTTCTTCTTCTTCTTATTGTCTTATTATTATTTACATAGTTTGTAAATTATCTTTATCCAAGTAAATATTATGTTTTGTTGAAATAGAAAAATTAATTTACAAAAGTATTAAACTTTACTTCATAATATTATGAAAAAATGTAAGTACTAATTCAAAAAAAGTATCATTTTAAAACATAATCTATTCACAAATAAATATAAAATAACATTATAAACATACAACGTTAACATTTATTAATCAAATTTATATTAATTTAGATAAAATTTAAAATTTATTAATCATATATATGTACATTATAAAAATATAATATTAAAAATTTAGTAATCAAAATTAAAGTGAATTAAGTAAAATTAAAAAGAAAATTAAAAAATTATTAATTACATATAATGGGGCATAACGTATCTGAAACGATTAGACAATTTAATCTGTAATTCTCAAGCCCGAAATTTAGTACGAAATTAATTTTAATATCAAAAAATATATAAAAAAGTTATTTTTTAAATTAATAAATTTTAATTTAATGTAGAATTATGAAAAAAAAATAGGTTGATGATAAAATTAAAAATAATATTAAAAAAATAGATGAAAATTTGGGTTTGAATGGTATTTTTGAAAAAAAAATAAAAAATAGAGGTCAGAACACAATTA